TATTCGCCGTCGCGTCAAGTTTCGCTAGTAGCAGTGCGCTTGTGCATAGCGTCGATGGCCTGATCTTGAGCGTGGGCATTTCACGAAAAAAAAAAAAAAAATCTTTTGTCGACAGAGTTGGTCTATCTCTCGGATCGTAGCGGCTTCACTGTAAGAGACGCAAGGAAACCAAACCGGCGAGAAATGCTGACGCCTACACGCGTAATCTGACGAATCCGTGTTAGGCAAGTGTCGAAAAGACAACATTCAGCTCCACAGTTCTTTCGCGTATTAGACCCGAATGTCACACGGCACAAACGAAGCAATACACCAGTAAGTGACACGGGACATAGCGTCTACTTGAGCTAACGTATGTCGATGTAGCCACTCTGTCTCCCTGATTCGTGCAGCGTCTCTTTATAAATAGCATCCCGTAGAAAATGAAGTAGTGTTGTTTCTTATGTATACGATCTTCACGCGGAAAACACAAACGCATTCGTGGGATTATATTCCTCAGCGGTGGCACACGTCCGCTTTCGTTCCGTAGCCTTTCTTTCATTGCCACAGAAAGTTGTCCCCGAGTACAGTGCATTGTTTAGTTTGTGCTCTGCTGTCTATAAATTAGAACTGTGCATCACCAACTATAGCCTGCCAGCTAATGTCACTGATTATCACTGGCGTGATTGTCAACCGACACATGAGGCCCGATTGTCGGGTGGTTCACATACGCTTCCAAAACTTGAAAATCACACATGTAATCTAAACGCATAGGGCGAAACACATCCAAGAACATAAATAATGAGTGGTGGTTTGAACGTCCCCTACCTCATCCCCGAAAAACTATTTCTGGCTACGCCCAGGGCCAGTGGCAATGGGGGCTGGAACCCCCCCCCCCCCGGAAATTTCTGCCTGCCCCCCCCCCCCCCGATTAATCTTAGCAAAACACAACGCATATGTTCCCAGCCTCCCCCCCCCCCGCCCCCCGTCCTTTGAAGAAACGTACTTGTCCCGTGTGGCCCTTCAGTAGAAACAAAAAAAAAACGGCACCGCGCTTCTGGCTACGCTGTTGTTCAGTGTCGACTTTCGGGCTCCTTATCGCGAGCCAACTGTACACATTCACGTCGAAAGTTTCTTTTGCAGTATTCAGTCTTAGCGCAGTTCATACAGCAGTCGTGAAGCTACAGATGCTTGAATATGTGTGCGATATGTACGGGGATAAGAACGACTTTGGTGTGCGTTCGCTGGGGGCCGTCAATTCGCGCGCAAGCAATGCAGCGCTTGGGTTCTGTCGTTATCTTTCAACTTTGTGAACCCGAAATCGCGTTCCATACGATGCATCGTCACATATTTATTCGTTTTATTCTTGCTTTCTATATATAAGAGTCGGCTGGTGAAACGATCTTCCCACATATACTCGGCAATAAACGACGCGTGCACCGGAACACTGCAGCTCCGCGTAAGCGCTCTGTTTCTTTTTTTTGCCATCGCTTATTCCGAGAAGAGCGTGCCGCACGGCTACACCGACCGTACGCCGTCATGTCTCGTAGTAAGGTGCCTTCTGCTACGTCCCGAGGCGGTCGCTCCCAGCCCTACACTGTCGGCAACCCGGCCAAGCCCTCCGCCGTCGCGTCCTCGTCTAAGCTCTCGGCCGTGCCAATGGCTCTCGGCCCGGCACCGACCGCGAAGAAGCAGCCTTCGACGCCGGGCCAGCCGACGACCTGCATCGCGTACGCCTTCCAGCCCGCCCACGGGAAGGAGGCCATCTTGCTCATACCAACGAGTGCGTTGAAGTTCGAACTACGTGAACAGGCGGGCCAGAAGGTGTTGCAGTTCTTGCCGCCGTCGGCGGCGTTCTTTCCGCTGCTAAAAGCGACCCCAGTGCCGTCCGCGGCGACTTCAGCCCAAAGACAGCAAGAACAACGTGGCGCCCCGCAGACAACTCCTCCGAAAACGCAGCAGACGACTCCTTCCGCGTCGTCTGTTCCACCGGGGACGAAAGACAAGTCGTCCTTGCGCCCGGCTGCTGCGAGCGACGTAGCAGCCGTTGTAGAGCCGGTGTTTCGGTTTCAAGAACGTCCTGCGTCGTGGAGCAATGCCCTACGGCTGGACTACGGCGGCAAGATCCGCAGCGGACAGGCGAGTACCGCTCCCGAGCCGCATACCGGCACCGGTTTCAAGATGGCGCCGGCTAATGCCTTTCCGGAGCAGCAAGAGATCGACTATGAAAGGCGGCAAGCGCACGCTCGGTACGGATCGAACAACGGGTTGATCAATCGAATCTTGGACGGCCGTGTCGTTGGTCACGACTCGACTTGGCTCGAGACGTCTCGGAGGGAGAGTATCGGCTCGCTCGCTTCGAAGGTACGCTACGCCTTGGCCGACGTGGAGCGGACTGAGAAACGGCTAGACCAGAAAATGGCCGACGTAGCTGAAGCCAATGAACTGTTTCACTACAAGCTGGACAGATTCCAGCAGCTGGCTGCTCTGATAAACAGTGACGAATTTCTACGGGCTACGGTCGAAGCTGAACTGCAACAACCCATGCAGTACCTTGACCTTGACGGCAGTTCTTCCGCTTTCTTCTAAGGGGGTTTGCGGTTAGTCTGCGTCACCGTAATCGTCAAAGAACTGTGCCGGAACATAGTGAAAATAGTGCATAGTGCTGGTTTGTTGATATACTTTCTATTTAGCGCATGAACATATGTGCATTTCTAGTTTCAGCCGTGAGTTTGCATGTTTTCTACGCCTCAAATGCTCAGCTGTTTTGGGTTCTTTAAGAACGGCAATAAAACGACGCTGACATCACGCGTAGTCTAACATATGCCACTCCACCAGTGGCCTTGCAAGCAAACAGATAGGTCTGTTCTGGTAATATGAGTAGTATGCTGTGTACAAGAATATCCAAGAAATAAATTTGTTGGTTGACATTTATGCGTCGCAGTTTCAAGTTCTGTGGGCGTAGCCCGAAAAAAATCGCGTTTAGGTATCACGTTTACAGCACACTTATTTTTTTTTGTGATTTGACTGCGATTTTACGTCGATTTCATAGGTTCTTTGTTGACATTATTTCATAGTACTGTAGTGTTCCGTAGACCGGACTGAACTCGTGGTTTGCTCTGGCGCGAACGCAACTCGCCTAAAGCAATCTTCGCGCCAAACAAACCTTACCGCTGGTAGCGCCATCTCTGGAGCGCTAATCGACACACTTTATTGTCCTAGGTGGCGCGCCGGTCTTGTGTGTTTCGGCCCGTTCCTGAGCGTACCGACTGGCCCCCTTTATAAAAAAAAAATATCGTAGTGGTCACCGATTGTGTGTAGTGACGCCGGCGACGGATACTTGTTGGCCATGACACAGCACGCGGCTGTCACAGGTAAGTCTCATACCCATATCGTCCGCCGAAACAAGCGATCGCGGTTTGCTGAGCGCCGGTCGGCGGGCAAGCGCAGCTGACGATAGGCGAAACCTAGGCCTAAAATGCTCGCCTAGTTGAGCCGCACGGCGCGGACGCAATGATTTTTCGACGTCGCTCGGCGCGTTTGTTGGGATGCCGTCTCCACCATCGGTGCTTCGAGGACGCTGGAAGTGGCCGAAGGTCGATGCGCAGCCCAGAAACGCTTCGTGTGCGAGCTTACACGTGTTTCTTGGATGAGGAGCACGGCACTTAGACGAGTGTGTCGGGCGGCCGGCAGCGCCAGTGTAGGTGACCGGGCGCCCAGCTCGGCTTCGCGCGCAACTGCTTCGAAGTGCGCCGCCGGACGTCGTCCCATGTGGCCTCGCAGGCCGGTGCGCTAGGCCTATTTTGACGTGTACCTCGAGTCCAGGCGCTTCGCATTTTTTTTCACCTCGCAGGCAACTGGCTTTACGATCTTAGGCGGACTCGTTAGGGGTCCCCGCCACTCAAAAAAACGCGACGCAACAACCCCCTGTTGTTTACGGCAACGGCAGCGCTGATGTGTAGTCGCTACACTAGCGTGCCGCGTCATTAAAATCTACCGACGGTTATGATATAAACCCGAAAACTACGAGCTAGGCAGTCACGTAGCTCTGCGACACGTTTTCAACGTGGTGCCGAGGCCGTTCCAGTACTCTGACCAATGCTTGCGACGGTTTAACCAGCTAAATGTGCAGGCTTTTTGATTAAATAGCGCGTGATTAAGCGTGGTTATCAAATCGCGTTTAGTCGCTCCCGGTATCGTTAGCTAATGCGCGTTTCATTTTGTGCTTGAGAACCTTTCTCTGAGGAATACCACCGAAAGAAAGGGCGATGCTAGACGCGTACGCATTTGGGAGCTCCACACGCGACGACCGATGTTTGATCGCGTAGTAACCAGCCGAATTGATTGCCAGACATGTCGCCATTGCCGTCTTCGTATTCTTGGTCCCCTTTTTTTTTGCGAAATCTGCTCCCGTTTGTTTCGTTTGCGGGGCCATTTTTTTGAGGCGGAGTTTTTCTGATACTCGCCTTATTTTTTTTTAGACTGTTATCTCTTTCGATATCGAAGATCTGAAGGACGCTTCCGCTGATTTTCCTTGGAATCGAAGCCTATACTCGCATCTATCTTATCGCTAAGCGCATTCCGCTTGAGCTACGGATAAGTTGACCCACACAACCAACTTCACGCTATTGCCACGGATGAACTTTTCTTTTACGATTCGTTTTGGAAAAGAAATTGCCAGATCCGTAGGGACAGCTACAAGATCGACCGGCCGGCGCAGAGGTAAAAAATAAATAGGACGGAAACGCGCACCGCACGAAGGAGAGGAAAAAAAAGACAATAAAATCGATCGGCGATGCGAAGACGTCGGTTGCGTCTCAAAGCCCGCCTATTTTAAATTCACGTGACTTGAATGCGCCCCCCCCCTTTTTTTGTTTCGTGAGTCACGCTAGCTTTCACAACTGGTTTGTACGTCGGAAGCAGTATTGTCTCCCTGTTAATGTTTCGTCGAGACATTGTTTCTTTAGCGCCAGTACCATTTGCCAGTGTGACCACTTGTTTTCATTAGGTTCCGTCGATAGCTTCTTCCTCGCTAGCGTGTTTTTTGCGTTCGCCTCGAAGCAAGTACAAAAGTGAGACATCTTCAAAAGTTGTGCGCGTGCCTCGTTGCGCGATTCATTCGCGCCCCCTGAAAGCTTTAACTATTACTCGGTGCCAATCACGGGATAATGGGAAGCGTGGATGATAACCTTCTGAGGTCCCCTCGCCCATCACCACCAGTACTTCGATGTGGGTGAGTGCTTGTTTGAAGAGGCCGCAGATGCGTTGCTGTTTTTGGGTTCTAGCGGCAAGCATGCCGGCGAGTCGGGTGCGTTGCTTGTCAGCGTTGGCGCCGGTCCAAGCCAAAGGGGGAATCGCGAAATCTCGACGCACTGGAAATCGCCATTCGCCGCGCCTGCGTACCACCATGTTGAAAGAACGAAAAAAAAAAAAAACAACGCGAAATTCTGAAGGAAACGCGCCCTTGTTGCTATTGAGCCTTGGTGTTGGAAGTCTATGAATATTTTCGTGGAACGCAAAACTAAGCAATGTCTTGTTCGTAAAACTCGATCCTCAAAGCTCTATTCGTAGCAAGGTTCGTGAAACTGAACATTTTTGGTAGCCTCATCATGTCTGCTTGTTCTTTAGAATGTTCTTTAGTAATTTTGAAACTAGTTTTTCTGTGATGGGGGGGGGGGGGGGGCGTTTAGATCAAGTAATGGCGGCTAGTCACTTGCTGTGAAGGGAGCGTTGAAGTGTGCTCCGTCAACATGCATAACTGACAAGTCCCAGCACGTGTGACTCGGCCCACTTTGAAGGATGACAGATGCCGCCATTAGTTGGGGGAATATGTAGCGTAGAGAAGCCCACTTGTGAATTGTGAGAATGGTCTATCAGGAGCGAAAAGTAATGCTGGCCTGAGACGAAGCCAAGGAAACTCCGGTGTTGTCCCATGCGCGGAACGGTATTCGTGAGTTCTTGAGGTGCTGTTTCGTGCACCGTGAAGTTCTGCCATATTCTCAGACGTCGGGGAGGCTCCCGATTTTGAGCGACCCTGTTGGCCAATCGGAGTGAAGCAGATGACTAATTTAACACTGTCTAAATTGGCTTCCGTGGCAAACTTCACAGAACGTCTACTGAATGGACTTTGATGTCTATTCGTACGCCTGTGGCATTGCCTAAATTTGTCGGGAACTCTCGGGCACCTGACAACCACCACCACCGATATGTATTAAGGTGCCAACCTAATTTGACCAGTCCTCTGAATACGGAAGTGCACATTCCTTCATGTAGTGCAGCATGTTTTTGTGTTGAAAGACCTGTGCTCGCCAGTAGTTCATGGTGTGTTTGTAATGATTGGAAATACGTTTCTAAATGTCGACAGTTGTCCACTCAAGCAATCTTTTAATTAGATAACACGGACTAGCAGCAGGCGCAGCAAGGCTGAGTAAGTTAGATGTGGGTGCTGTTAGCTTACCCAGGCCAGCACCCGCAGCACAGCTCAGAGCAGCGATCATTGGAGTGGCAGTCCTCCCTGAAAGAGTGCGATGTAGAGTTCTACGCTTGTATTTAGCAGGCCTTGCTCTTGTTGTACAAGATTGTAGGCCGTTCACAGGCTTCTGCTTCTGTGACTGACATCGGATCTTGACTGGTGTTTTAAGCGGTTGTCAATGAAAAGGGAAAAGAAGCTTTATGGAGCTCTGTCTCTGTCTAGTCATGCTGTTCAAATGTTACTGTGTTCAACTGGCCTGCCTTACCTACTTTTCAGACAAAGCGTTTACTGTATTACAAGTGTCAGTGAAATTGTCAGTCTGAACACACACACAACAAAAAAAACAATGTCTTAAAATGCAAACACAGCCTGAAAAACTGTGCTGGTCACATCCAAATTTGTGTGCGCAGTTTCCCAATGACTAATGCTTGCATGATGATGAGCTTGTCGGCAAACAGGTATTTCTGGTATAGCAGTCGGGTCCTTCGTCAGGGCAACTTGTTGTTTCACATGGCTACATTTCATTGCTGCCTACATGTGAGCTCGTAACGGGCTTTGTTGCCTGTAGCAACTGAAGTGTTGTGCCGCTAAGTGCTAGGTGGATAACGGTCCAACTTTGCCGCCCAGAAAGGAAACAATTAGGAGGGAGCATTGCGCAATGAAATAAAGAGTCAAAGAAAAGGGATAGGTCAGGTGCCCCCCATTTGTTTTTGATAGGGCAAAGGCTTACCCACTAGCTCGTGCTGTCGTTTTAAAGTATCTTTTCGTGTTCGTTGCGGTATGACAATTCATTTCCCCTTTCACATTCTCTTCGTTTCAGTGGCCCAGACATTGGGGAGGAGTCTAGTCAGCACCTCTTGTAGGTTCTAAGAATTCACCGTGCCACCCCCATCCTGCCTTCCCTGCTTGGCGGCGACGCCACGAGCACCCGTGGGAAAGATGCCGCAAGAAAGTTTGAAGATGATCAGCAACTCCATCAGCATGGGGCTCGGCCGTAGTCCGCTTGGTCTCAATCAACAGGTGTGCGCTGCATGAACATATTGCGATGAAAGTGTTGCTGTGGAAGAACTTGCTGCTCGGACGGAATGAATGTTTGCTATTGTAGCATGTTAATATGTTAATGCGACTGATAAAATGTGATTCTGATGATAACATAAAGAACAAGACATGTTAGCAAATGTAATATAAACTCGGGACATGACCTAGTAATGTAACATGTTAACGTGACAACGCATCTGCTAGGGACTGACATGGCATGTCATGATAACATAAATATGTAACATGACACAATATTAACAGGAAGTTAAAATACACACCATTAACTTTGGAGTGACATAACATGTCATAACACAAGTTATTATCATGCCATAACCTAAACTGCAGACATATCATGATGACATAACAACACAATAACTTGGAACATAAATAACATGCTATTATCTTGGACTTAGCATTAACTTGGGACATTACAAGATCACTCAGCATGTTACTGTAGCATGTCGACACGTTTTATTATAATGGAAAGGCAGGAATCTTTGTTTGTTTGTTAAAGTCGATGTGTGCTGTGCTCCTCCCCGGAGTAATGCCATGTCACTGCTGCAGGTTGCTGGTGGCTCGCGGTCGTCGGTGCTTCTGTCCCGCGTCGACTTTGAGCCAGGTGACAGTGGGGGAAAGCACTCCACCGAGGCGCTGAAGGCAAAGTACGCACCGCTGTCGCCATCGCCGGTGCACAACGGGCAGCTGAGCAAGAACAACTCCCTACACAAGATAGGTAAGCGTGACGGGGTTTGTTAATTAACAAAAGATTGCTTCCAACGTTTCACGAGCCGAGACTACAACATATGGCTGTTGGGCATGCTGCACCATGGCCATATTACGACAGTGTTGTAACGCAAGAACGCCCCGGCACATTGATTGAGACGTGTGCCATGGAGCCCTGCGTGCTCAAAATTGAACCGGAATGGCCCACTGTGCCATGCCTTGTGACCATATTGTGCATTTGACAACTAAAGTCATAATATTTTTAGTGTGAATGCTTGTTACAACAACGGTGGTAAGACGCCTAGCAAGTTTGGTCAGCAAAATGTGTAAGTCTGCATGTTTTGCCTTGGATTTAGTTGTCATAAATGTGGCCTGTGCGAATGGCTCTTGCTGCATGCCTTCGGAACCTTTTGTGAAGTCTATGATATGGAAGCAGACGCTGAGCTATTCAGCATTTCCTAACGATAACTGTATAAATAATGGGTTATGTTTATTTACAAGGTGCAGTGCATCTCTATTATTACTCGGTCTAAGAACAAAAAAAATTACATGGGTGGTGACACTGTTAAACATTTTCTTGCTCTGGATGCATCTTGTGCAAGAGGTCTCTTTAGCTTTTGTAGTGCTGCACCTGATGTGCGGAAGAGAGCAAAACTTTCAGCACCCATGTTAAACACGTGTTTCTTCATGTTGGTGAATTGCACCAGGGGGCAAGACGATGGTGAACGGTGTGGCCCTGACAAACGGGTTGGGCGGCGGCAGTGACGCCGGGAACAAGGCGGTGCGTCGGGACGACGGGTACGGCGAAGACGGCATCCCCGAACCCCGGGTGCGCCTCCACTCCTCGGACTCCGTCTGGCTGGACTGGCGGGAGCAGCGGCGCATCGGTGCTGGCCTTGTGAACATGGGCAACACCTGCTTCATGAACACGGTCATCCAGTGCCTGACCTACTGCCCGCCCCTGGCCAACTACCTCCTGCACCAGGACGACCACTGCGCCAAGTGTGAGTGCGCACCGGTTGTGGTACTTGCTGTGCGAGTGACGTACCGGGTTGTACTGGCTTCACCACGTGGCAAGTGTGGGCGTTAACTGACTAAAACAAAAGCTTGTTGATTCGACTGTATTTAATTTGTTAAGGGGGCAGACTGGTCTTTGGGGCCCAGAAGTGATAAAACAATATTTTTTTAAATTGACATATTTCGTTTCTGCAAGTATTTTTCTATCTCTCTGCGAATTTTCACACACCAGGAAGTGGTACTTTTTGTGATGTCATTCTAACTGTCCAGATTCTTGGTGCTGTTAACATGCAGAACCTGCAAAAATGGAGAACCGACTTTGAGGCTTCTTTATAATTCGCTGGCACCTGTGTTAGAAGCTCTGCTACGAATTTATGAGCACCTTTATGAGGATCGCAAATAATGCACACCATGATTGTTGCTTTTTGAAAAAGCTGTGTGTATTCAGTTTTTCTTTTTTTCATTTTCCCCCCAAAAAGTAAATTTATGACTTCAGTTTTGAGGCCTCAATATCCCTGCAGCTAGTGAGGTGTAATAATAATAATTTTTTTTTTTTGCAATGGAAACCTGTATGTGTATAGAATGCAAGTATGGGAGCAGAATTTAGAGCACAAGTCTTTTTAATCAATCACTCATCAAAATTGTTACACAATTCCAACTGCTTTTGAAAATGGATAGTTCACTTTGTTGTAAAATAACCAAGGAAGGCCTAAAAACAAAAAATCTACTATAATTGCAATCTATAGTCATTAGTCTATGTTGGCACTTGTTGCACAAATGCAATTAAGCGCTTGTTTTTCTATGGCGGCCTTAAAAATAGGGGGTGAATATAAGTTATCTCAGGAACAAGATGATTTGCAGGAAAACAAATGAAATATTTGAAATAAGCAGAAAAAACTGCATAAACCTGTGCAGTTTGATCAAGATCGCTGAAGCAATAAACAAAATGTCTAAGACCAGTCTGCCCTCTTAAATCTTGCGCTGTGGTCGCATTGTGAAATAAGCTGATGCAAAATTAGTAAAGCATCTAGGTAGTCGTCAAGAAAGTGACAGTGTATTGATCTAATACACATTTCTTTGTTTTCAAGATACATTTTATAATTCGGACTTCTGTTAAAAGGGGTACTGACCCAAAAATTCACGGGCGAGATAGCCTGTGGAATCGATTCTCGTGAGCATGCCCATATCATCTGCAAAATATCACCAGCGAATATAGCTTGGGAGGTATTTTACAGCAATTTTGAAATTTGAAGGTATTGACAGCATCTAAAAGACCTCTTCACATCCCTCACATCACCACGCCGCAGTCAATTAAAACAGGTTATGATGACGTCGTAGCTGCCATTTTCTTTTGACGCACTTGTTCCATCAGTCTATACTGGCCGCAGCGCACTAGTTCAAAGTTTTGTGTTTGTTACACTGCACTCCCGTTTCCTATTGGAAAAGAATTCTCTATGCAGACCGTGTGGAAGTGCGTCGCAGTTCTGCGGGCTGACATGGTCGGGAGCTGCACGCACCAAGTGGTCATAGTTGCACCCGGTGACTTCTCATTTTTGGAGCTCTTTCAAACCAAAACAGGTTGATATTGAGGGGCTTGTAAATAATTATCTGTCCTGTGTTGTAGCAAACAATGTGTCGTGTTACGACTAACAGGTCCCCTGCAATACATTGCAGGAAAAAAACGCGAGGCTACAGTTTTTGTGTCGGTACTGCTTTAATCTAAACATCTCTTCCAGTCCCGTGAAATCCGAATCAATGAGCTTTTACTGTGCCAGGCCATGTGGCAGCCGTGGTCCTAATGCAGCAGATTTCTGATTTTTGTCACTTTCGTTTCTTTCTCTCTCTTTCAACAAAGTCTGAACGACATACTGTCATTCAGTGTAGTGACCATGGCTAATTGATTGTCAAGTTGTTTTGGTGTTTTACTAAAGGAAAGGAGGGTATCTCGAACTTGCACCCGGTGGTCTGGGTACCCATATAGTGAAATCTCAGAGTTGATGATAGAACTATCATTTATAATGAAGTAAATATGAAGGATAGTCATGCCGTCATAAGTGTTACGAATGCGCTGTTACGAGGTTTTCTGTATAATGAACTTAGTTGCGTGTCAGGTGCGATTTCATAGTGTAGTTGACCTGTCCTTTCCATCCTCTCGTTCTCGCCCCACCCCGCAACGCAGTGCTTCTCTTCTAACATCAAACCACTATTTCTCCTCATTTACTATAATGCAGTCATTCAGTTGTGAATCAATAGGCTTTTTTTTTTTTTTTCACTTTCGTACTATTGACCGTCTGCACCTTTCATGTTCGTGCAGGCAAGACGCTGAACTTCTGCATGATGTGTGAGCTCCAGAGGCACATGAAGCGTGCCCTGGAGAAATCTGGCGACGCCATCAAGCCCCTGTACATATACCAGCGGCTCAAAGGTATGTTGCAGGACGCTCTGCCGTTTCACCGACTTGGCGATCGCTCTCTGTAGTTGTCAACAGAGTAAACATTGCCAGCCTGTGATCAATGACAGAGCGAACGCTCTGGTGCTCTGCAATCACAGTCTTTTTGATTTGCTAGCTTTGTAATTGCAGACTCGGTAATCACTGGCCTTGGGGTCGTTTACTTTGCAGTCTCTGCAATTGTTGGCTTTGTAATGGCTGTCTTGGAAATAACCGACTTTGTGATCGCTGACTTTTTATAATCTAGCAATCATGGGCTTTGTGGTCACCGACTTGGTCATCACCATCAATGCTGAGAGAGGGGGGGGGGGGGGGGGACTGCAAGGGGTTCTGCAAGTGTAGCAGTTGTTGAATGGGCTGTCCCAATGCTTGTGGAGCTAGTTTCAACCATCATCTCCATCCACTTGCCAACTTCTTGAATGCAAAGTTATACAGTGAAAGCTTGTTAATTCACACCTCGTTAATTTGAAATTTCAGATAATTCAAAATAATAGCCACAGTTCGGTTTGCAGTGCGTAAGAGAACATGTGTAAAGCGATTCATTAGTTTGAACAGAAATTGCTGCGTTTACGGATAATTCGAAGCGCGCACCGCCAATCGTCATTGTCGTCAAACACTAGTGGAAGCTTTTACGGCTGAACGATAGGTAGCACGACCGGTTTTTTTTTTTTCAAGTTTTAAGAAGCCTCTGAGCAAAGGGTCGCAAAGTATGGCATCCATAATCAGGAGAGCAATTTTTTTTTTTTTTTTCTGTCGCCCACCTCCTATTTCTGCGCCACTTGTATGCGCGGCACGCTGAGGGTTCAGCAGGTCGGCGGAGTAGTCTTAGCAGTCCTAGTCCGCACTCAGCAGCATCACTTTGTTCCTCGAGCACGTTCGTTCACGCCGTCAAGCTGTCTTATTCCGCATTGAAGTTGCAAGATGCCGTGGGGAAACTGCTGCGCGAAGACTGTCAAAGAGAAGGGAAAGATTTTGCGAGAGGTTGACCAAGGGAAGTCGAGCAAATATGAAATTTTGAGGAAGCACGGCATACCTCTGAGCACCTTGTCAACCTACATACAGAACAGGACGGCCATTGAAAACCACTATGAAGCTGGGGATTCTGGTGCCAGTTGAAAAAGGCCAAGAACAGCGAAATTCCCGGAACTGGAGCCAGCTTTGATTATCTGGGTTAAAGAAATGAGAGCGCAGAGTATAGCATTGAGCGGCTCTATTATCATGGCCTGGGCAGCCGATTTCGTCCTGCGCTTGGACATTGAAGACTTTGTCGTCTCCAAGGAATGGCTTCATCGTTTCAGGATACGGCACAATCTCGTATTCCGCACATTATCCAGCGAGGCGAAGGAAATGGACGTCAAAACATGCGCTGCTTAGAGAAGCGACACCCTGCAGCAATACTTCTACTCTCCACAGGATGTGTTTAACGCTGATGAGACAGTGTTTTCAAGTTGCAGCGGACAAGACTATCACTTACTAGGGAGACAGCTGTGCCAGCGGCAAGAGTGGCAAAGAGCGTGTCACTCTTCTGGTCGCCGCAAATATGATCAGTACAGAAAATGTCCCCCTTTTTGTGATTGGCAAAGCACTCAAGCCACGGTGCTTCAAGAACATTCGGTCACTCCTGACAGAGTATGCCGCAAACAAAAAAGCCTGGATGACAGGTGACATATTCAGGAAGGGGCTACTGAAATTCGACAGCCGAATGGAACTGGGTGGCAGACGCGTTCTTCTTGTCATTGACAACTGTACAACGCAAAACGTCGACGTTGAGCTGAGAGCAACAAAGTTGGTGTTCCTTCCAGCATGCACAACTGCGGCAATACAGCCAATGGACCAGGGTCTGATAATGAACATAAAGTGCTTTTATTGGCATCACATGCTGGAGAGAACGATTTTGTGTGCGGGCGGCAGAAAGGACTTCGGCATTACGCTGCTCACTGCCATGCACATGTTGATGCGCGCATGGGAACAGGTGACCGCGACCACATTCGCCAACTGTTTCTGCCACAGTGGATTTGCAGCTGGAAGTGCGCAGGATAGTTGCGATGTCGGCGTGGACGGGGTTGAGGAGCTCACGCCAGTGGCACTGCGCGACACTCTTCAGGGTGTACATTTTTACGATTACAGTATTTACTCGATTCTACCGCGCCTTGATTGTAACGCGCACTCGGTTTTCACGACAAAAAAAAAGTAAGACATCGATTGCAACGCGCACCAATTTTTCTCGTTGGCCCGCACGATCACACTACTCGGGAAAACGACTCCTTTCGGGAGCGTCTTCTGTTTAAATATGAGTTACAGGGGAAGCTTGTGCCAATTTGACGTGCAATGGAGCATTGCCATCACTCTTGTTTTACCGTGGCCTGATGTCAGCATGGAACTTCGCCCCCTTCTTCTCGACGGTTGTGGTGCCAGGCATGTCGAAGTAAAGAGGCGTCTGATCGGCATTCCCGATTTGCCCAAGCAGGTAGGCGTTGTTGTGCCGCAAGTTTAGGACGAACCTCTGAAAACTGTGAAGCTTTTCTTCGTACTCCTCCGGCAAGTTTTGGCGCATGCCTGTTCGCTTTCGAAGGAAAAATCCTTTCCTCTTCGTAAAGTTAGTTAGCCAGCACCTGCTCGCTTTGAACTGGCTACGCGTTAGCCCTTTTTCTAAAGCTAACTGCATAGCCCGCACTTAGAGCAGTTCTGTCGTCACGGGCCGCTGTGCCGCTCGCTGCTCAAGCACATACTCGGCGAGCAGCTCTTCAATTTGCGGAAACCGGCCCTGCTGTGGTCCACTGAAGCCTTTGCGTGAATCTTTGCTGTCGACAATCTTCTGCTTTTGTTTCCGCCAGTCCCGCACGCACGATTCGGGAACTCCGAACGACCGCAATGCGGCCCGATTTCCGTCTGTTTCGGCACATGCGATGACTTTTCTTTTAAAAGCGGCATTGTGGTGCCACTTTTACACACAGGCAGAAATGGCCGACGCGCCATGCCGAAGCACGTAGGGGGCGGCCATTTTGGAAATGCCGATGGTAATAGAAGGACCGTATTCATTTTTTTTTCGCACTCCATTTTAACGCGCATGCGATTTATGAACTCGCTTAACCGGAAAAAAGATGCGTGTTAGATTCGAGTAATTACGGTATGTTAAACTTGGCACCGGTGCAACGGTGTGCCCTGACTGATGAGGACATTATCGCTCAAGTAGCCAATGCGCAGCCTGTTGCTGAAGAGCCAGAAGGTGAGGAAGACGAAGATGATGAAGTGCCTGTGCGCCCGTCAGCATCAGAGGGGATGGAGGCACTTAATGTGGCGCGTCTCTTCAGCTTTGAAGAGAATTCCTTGTGCCGCGTCCGCGTGCAGGAACAGAGAGCCGTAACTGGTGGCATTCAGGGAATATAAGCAGATGGTCATCACCGACTTTTTTGGCCAATAAATATTTTTCGTGCCCCGACACCCGAAATCCACCCATTTTTGCTCACTTTCATTATTTTTAATTTTGTTTAATTCGAAATTTCTCAGCGTTCTCGTGGAATTCGAATTTACGAGCTTTTACTGTAGTGCTGGAAGCGTAGCGAGGGGTGTTTGTGTGCGATTTGATTCTTGGTGTGTGCACATGCTTGACGTTTTGTTTGTTTTTCTTTTTTCATCCTCTTCTTCAGCCATAGCGAAGCACTTTCAGTTCGGGCAACAGGAGGATGCCCATGAGTTCCTCCGCTACGTCGTTGACAACCTTTGGAAAGCGGCGCTGGCCAACTACGACGGTGGCGTCAAGTGAGTGTCTTTGTAGTCCTTCCTTTTCCTCCCGCTTATCGTCGCGAAGCAAGCTTAGACAGAAGCGCTGACTCCGCTCGCATAGAAGGGGCGAATTTTGCAGCGCCGGTTCTTGCTTCATAGCAGGCTTGCGAGATGGCCCTACAGATGAAAAAAAAAAAAGCGCCGGAGGAGCGTCGCCGTCTTTCAGCAGAGCGGCGGACGAGGGTTCTCTGTTGTTGCTATAGCAGTGGCACACTCGTGCTTTGCCTCGTCTCTTTGCCCACCCGTTTTATTGTGCCCTGCACACGCACTTCTCCACGCCACTGTTGCCGCCAGTCAGCGTATACACTCATGAGAGTAGGTGTTGAATGAATACCGGAGGGAGAGGGCTAAGGGAATGAGCTAAACACCCGAATCCGCGTTGCACGATTCATCGCGAGTGAACGTGCTAAGCAGTCACTCAATCTGCATACCTGTCTTATCCTGCTCCATGGTCTTAGCTCCATAGCCTGAATTTTGTTGTCCTCTCCCTACAGGCTGGACCCTGCGAGCAAGGAAACAACTGTTGTCAATGAGATTTTTGGCGGCTATCATCGAAGTCAAGGTGAGTGTACTGCGTGCATATAGCCCGCATATCCTTGGGAAACTGTGGGAGCCGGTCTTGTGTGGTATATTTGCAGAGCCGGATCCAGCCTCGCAAAATGTTGTTCGCTCGTACTACCTCTGCGCCTGTGTTGCTTGGAAATAGTCTTTCGTGCTCATGTGGGCTTTTTTTTTTAATATTTGTACAAGCCAGTTTATCATGTGAAGTGGAGATGTAAAGTGTTTTCCACTGCACTCAGACCTCGATATAATGAACCTGGATATAATTAATAATTGGTTATAACGAAGTAAATGAAGAAAAGTCTAGCAAGAGTGTTAGCATTTACTTTTATAGCAAGTTTTCGGATATATTGAACATATTTTCGTGTAAAATGAAACTTTGTTGTAACGAGGTTGTGGGGTCTCGAAGTGGAGAAGGCCATGCTCTTGAAACACGGATGGACACTGCAGACACGGTCAGAACGAACCAAACAACACACATTTATGCTACTACTTTTAGAACGACAATATCGTCAGCCGAATGTATATCGATTCTGATCAACCTTACACAGTAATATTACTCGACATACAACAGCATAACACAAGAACACACACATTGCGGCTTCGCCAAAGCTTGACTCGCCACGAGGGCCCACGGGCGACGACCCGCGGTGCTGTCCACTGCAGACCTGCCACCAGAAACAACGGTTCGCGCCAATCACCGCCCTCTTTCTCATCTGCCACCACCAAGGCTTGCCGCCAGGCGTCACTGCCGGCGCTACCGTTCCAACCATGGCGATGATGATGGTGGAATACTCTCGCGAGCACAACGCCACTTACCGCTCAATAGTTGTGACCTTTGAAGGCGGCCTCTGCGCGAGACATGTATGCCACAAGGCACAAACAACTTCACAGGGTGTGTTAGCACCCCCACAGAGTGTACTACAGTAGAATCTGGATGATACGAATTTGAAGGGAGCGCATGAAATATTCGTATCAGCCCGAATTCGTATGAACCAAGAGCAACTTAAAGCTGATAAAAATGATGAGCAAGAAGTTCATTGGCAACTACGCCTTGCCGAAAAAAGTCTGTGATGTAACTTTCCTGCCTTCAGGATCTCTTAAGTGCCGCGGTCTCCTTGCTCATGCTGCTACCGCAGCGCGTTCACACTTGACATCAGAGAGAGCAAAACAGGCTAAACTCCTTAGAAATTCACTCGCTTCCCCGCTTAAGCAGCCGAAAAGCCTCGCTGCGAAGTCCACACGAATAAGGTCCTGGAGAATTCACATTGGAGAATTCAAGTGAGAATGCCAGTACGGCCGGAAAACCACGTCCGCGCCCGCCCAAAACGTTCATTTTCGTTCTGCCACTCGTACACACGCCACCCCCCGCGGCCTCCATCTCCACTTGAGAGTTCATTTCATTTTGCCCATTTCCTGAGCACTGAAGTTCGTGCTGTTATAATTATGCATACAAGGCACTGAAAAGAAACTGTTTACACCTTTACTAATGTTATTTCGGAAGACACGCCAGCCTAAATGACACGAGTGGACTCAGCGGCGGCGACGGATTCAGCCGACAGTGCAAAAGCAAGACACGTTCAGGCAAGCCGACTCGCTGCTGCTGCACCTTCTTTTTACTTCTGGTGTTATCGGGGACCTGTAATCCAAACCAGGCTCTCAACGACCGCGTCCTTGTCAAGGTTGTGAGCTTTGACGTGCCGCTTAACTCTATGGCTGCAGGGGTAGTTTGCAAAAGTGCCGACGCAACCTACCGCTGATGCCTTTGCCGCCATGTCGATTTGCGGCTGGTTGTTGACATCACGTAGTTTGAGAGATAGAGTGATAGAGCAGCCGGTGAAGCCAAAGCCGGGAAGCAAAAAGGCAATACTATGCTATTGTGTGGCAGGAGAATTCGTCTCGGACCTCAGATATTTTTGTGTCGGCCTCGCGGCGTATTTTTGCCGCGTTGCGTCGCTGGCATGCAGCGGTAAATCGCACATTTGTATCATCCGCGGTGGCTGGGGAAACCATTCATATAACACCGAATCACGGTGTATTTTATATAATGTAGCCCATTCAAAACAATCTCGAAATACGTATCATTGCCAACTTCGCATCAACTGTAATCGTATCATCGAGATTCTACTGTATTGCTCCAACCAAAAAGGCAGCTTCATTTACTTGAAGGGTGAGCAGGGGTGCAGAATTCAAGTATGAAACTTATCATATGAGGGGCAGTTGTTCCATTTAAACAGGCGATCCGTTTTGAGATATTTATGTTCACTGATACATTGTTTGGGGGTTTGGAATTGAAAAGCAGGAAAATGCACCAAGTTCTGCAATACATTCAAATGCCTCTATCCAGTAGGAATGGGAACTCTGTTTCTAGTTTGCTTAAGTGGCCTTGAAGTCTGTTGCACAACTGTACTTCTTCCTTTCTTTGTTTGCTTGTCTCGTCTTGCAGTGACTTGCATGAAATGCAAGGAAAAGAGCAACACTTACGACCACTTCATGGATCTCATTCTCGACATCAAGGTGAGTGACCCCACAAGACACCCTCAATGCCTTTTACTTTGTGTGTGTTTGTGCGTGTATACATACGTACATACATACATACATACATACATACAGAGTGATACGCCGAATTTTGGAGATTCCCACATTGAAGTGTTGAGTGACCCAGTTGTTGCCCATCTTCACAGACATGCCTACCTTTCCTCCCTTTTTTCCTGTTGTTCTTGATGTCTGTGTTGCACTTGAATCTCTGTTGCCATACTTTCACAGTTCCTCTGAGCATGGTGACAAATGGCATAACCCTAAAAATTATTTTAATGCTCAGCTACATGACAATTTAAAGAAGTATTGACACAAATTAAGATGTTTGAACCTCTGTCCTGAAAGCCCTAAAAACAGTGTTGTAGCACTGTATTTTTGATGTACTCATTGATGTATTTTTGATGCCACTAGGGTCGAACTTGCTACAACAAACGGCGCTTCAACGAAATTTCCGCTACAACAAAAAAATTCACGATTCCCCGTCCACAGGAGTCGATGCATAAGTATTGTCGCCACAGCGAATACTTTTTCTTTGATCGTTCCGCTTCAACAAAATTTTACATTGTGATTCCAGGCTCAGATGCCTATTGCTATGCAGTAAACCCAATCTAACCCTTGGATGCATTTTCAGAGCCTGAAAATGCGTCAGCGAAGTCTGAAACGCGTTGGCACCGCCAGAAACCTCCACTATACCGCCGCTGACCAGCAAGCATGGGCGCCGCCATTGCTAGATAGTGATGGCAATGAGACTGCCCTGGTTTTCCCACCGGCTTGCTTTTTGAGCCGCAGACGATCTGAAGCTGAAGCTCAGTCGCTCTGTTCATGGTTTCCTTCACTGCAGCTGCTGGGTGCAACCTCGGAACGATGCCTTTTCAGATTCCGGTGCTTATCATTATGTTCGCGCTTGGCCAGTGTGGTAACTAATCAGAGTGGCCGTATTATCAACAAAATCAGCTAGTCGCGAGTGATGGATGATAAGAATGGCATAGAATAATGCATAAGTCGCCGCTCCGCGATACCCTGCCTCCATCTCTGCGTTGTCAGATACTCTTGACGGGGGACAGCTACTGGTGTTAACGTGTTCATGCAACTGCTTGGTTCATTCACAAAAGCGGTTTTAGACGTAGTTTCAGCGTAGCTTTTGAGCGTGGCCTTGCTATGCATGGGTGAGAATCGCGTTGCGGCGCTGCTGGGAAAGAATAGAAAGCAGCGGACATTTATTGAATTTCGAGAATAAACGTTCCTTTGTATTGCTAGATTAGGTGAGCTATGTTTTTTTCGATTTCACTACACCAAAATTTTTGCTTCAACGAAATATTTTTCTGCGCCCTGTCAGTTGCTTTGTAGGGGGGTTCGACTGTACTTTAAAATAGGAAAGTGCAATTGTAAAGGCTCATTTTCTTTGTTACATGCAATATTAATCAGAACAGACAAGCAATAATGAGAGGGAAAGTATAGGGGATGCTATTAGAAGTAATTGTAATGTAAATGTGAAGAAAGGAGAGTGTCTGTTGGTTCTCGTTAATGTTGTTCAACTAGCAATTTGAATTGTGGTGTTGGAGTGGCTTTGCACTGACGTGCCAATGCTAGTCTGACGTCACGAGAAGACTGCAACTTAGATACTAGCCCCAACTCAAGTCATTTGCTCTCTGTCGTTAGCGGTTCACGTGAACGCGAGTGTATTGTCGTCGAGCAACTCTGACAGCGAGTTCTTTGATTTAGGCTGCATGCGCGAAACAGATTTCGCAAACCCAGTGAACTGTGTTGATTGCCATGGTGCTGGCTTGCACATTTTGAGAGTCGAAATTATTAAAATCAAAGTAAAATACTTAGTTACCACGGTGTGTTGAGAGGTTCGATATAGCGCACACCATGGAAACGAAAAATACTTCTTTGAAGTTACATGTTACCAGCTTTCTCAAATTTGATTTCTTGGGTTTGTGTACTAGTATAATGCCTCAGGTTCTGCGCCTTTCTTTCTAGATTGTGAAATCTTTAAAGCTTAATGTACAGCTGTCAGTTACAGTGACCAGATGAAAGAGCTATTCGAACACTTTTTTTCTTATTCTTTATCCTATCTAACTCGAACTTGGAAATTTCACGTTAATCTTGACGGGCCTGCACTGTTGGGTGAAAGAAATGGCCACATTGTCCGCCTGTTACAGCCCTTAATTGTGAGATACTTTGGATGTCGGCACCTTTTCGCTAGAGCCGGTTTTAATTTCATTGCTCCAGAATGCCTCCAGCCTGGAGACGGCCCTGGAGAAGTTTGTGGAGCCTGAGCTGCTGCAGAACGACAACGCGTACAAGTGTCCGCGGTGCAACGTCAAGGTGATGGCGCAGAAGCGGTTCACGGTCCACCGGGCGCCCAACGTGGCCACCTTCCAGTTGAAGAGGTAGTGGGCAGTCAAGTTTCTCCCTTCAAACTCTCGCGATGCAAGGAAAAGGGGTACTAATGGCTGCACTCAGTATGACGAACACGGATATAACAAAATAACAGTTATAACGAATTAACTCAAAAATAGTTTTGCAATATACACTCAAACCTCATTGTAACAAAGTTGCATCTTACACGAAAATAAGTTCGCTTTAGCAGAAAATTCGTTATAAAGGGTTATTTCTAACACTATACCTACTGCAAGACAATTTCTCGCTTACTTCGGTATAACCGATATTTCGTTATATCCAGTTTCGTTATATTGTGGTTTGAGTGGAGATAGTGTAAGGAATAACCTTTAGAACAAATTTTTGGGTATAACAAACTTATTTTCTTGTAAGATGAAACTTGTTATAATGAGGTTAATAACGCGAAATCTCAGAAATTTGATGAAATGTTCTTTTCATTGGGCTCAGCGAATGGCACCTGCGGAGTTTTCCATGCGGGAAAACCCCGTTTACTTGAAGCCGTGAAAAAAATCGTGATAAGCGAGGTTGTGAGAATAGCGCCCCACTGAACTTGCATAGAACTCGACGAGCTTTCTGTTCTAACCTGCAGCTTGTTTTAATTCTCAGTACGCCAAGTGTCTGGAGAAGCTGCTACTGTTATGTAACAATGTTACTTTGCCTAATGAATGTAAATTTTTCATTTGTTTAATTCACCATTAAAGTGAAACACATTTGACTATTATGTGAATAAATACAGTATGTATTGAGAGAGGCTCCCATCCATTCAAACACATTTTTAACGAGATTCCAGGCCTTCTGGAATTGAACAAGCTTTTGTTGTATTTAAGTACTACTAAATGTTATTGCTTTTACATCTGTATTTGCCTTTCAATGTTTGCGTTTGATCTCCATGGCCCCGGAACATATGGCTGCAAATGATGCTACAACTGACGGGTTTCAATGTTCATGTAATACGCAGTAAATGCTGCGTGTGAAGAAAAAAAAAGAGAAAAAAATGTGCTCTGTCTCTCCTAGGTTCGATGCCAACCGGATGTTTGGCGGCAAGATCACGAAACATGTGAGCTACCCCGAGCACCTGGAGCTGCGGCCGTACATGTCGGACAAGCACGTGAGTTTTATCGCCGCCTCGTGAGAACACCGCTCCGAGCTATGCGTTTCTTGAAGTACCGCCATGCGTGCCTATTTTAGTTTTCTTTTGTAGAAATAATACTCGGGAACCTTCCTAGACGGTTGCATAAATTGTTATGAGCTGCAACGGGCTGCTTGCTCGTGACGGCATTTTACGGAGGAAAAAAGTCTCGCCACCGTTCGCATGACCATGCTATCAAGGGCTGCCACAACGCTCTGGAAACGGCTTGTTCCGAGCCTGGCTTGGCTCGAACGCAGCTGGGTAATTTGAAACTTCGTGTCACTGAATGTCGGTGGGGAAAGGCATTGTTTTGCGCAGTGCATCTTGAAATGCCGAACTTTTCTGCTCTTTGAAGGGCTCGTCACAGAGCAAGGTACGTTTACGCAAATGTTGGTCGCGATGCTCACCAGAGTTGGGTGACAGCTTGCGTTCGCTTTTCAGGGTGTTAGTATTGAGTCGTGGTGCCGTAACGTTGACGGTCCCAAAGGTGGGAGTGCGAGTCCCGCCTGTAGATTGGTTTGGGCAAAGTATGCGACCTGAAATAAAAAAAAAAAGGCAGTAAAAGGGATTTTGGCGAAATGCGTAGGAGAATGCTGGTACGATTAGCTAAACAGCGTTGTAGCCACGCCTCATTGCTAGTGAAATTTATGCTACATAATGCTATTGAATATTCAGCAATCAAAAAACAAGAGGCCTCAAGTTCGTTAGCACACATAGAACAGTGCGATACATTTTCGTGCTGATTTCAAGTATGCAATTTCAGTCAGACCCTTTTAGAACGAAATCTGACTGGATGCAGAATTTCTTTGAAGCCATAATTTCGTTGTAGTGAAATGAGAACAAAATATTCAAGGTGCATTTGCTGTAATATGAAATTGTTTTTCGTCTATTGTCTGAAATGATTGATACGAAACTCGTCTCTGATTGATTCTGGACAAGGTTGTTCTGTCAGGTGTATGCTTTTGGACTTATTTTTGTTGCACCGAGACGAAGACAATCTTTGCCTGGCTTTTCGTTTCTTTTGAAAATTGTTTAGTTGTTACTTTTTAAAAAAGAATGCCAATATCTCGTTTGCCAATAACAACGTTCGTGACCCGAAAGCACTAGATGCGGGACGTCTAAGCCCAAGCAAATACACGGGACGGATGACAGTTTTGCCTTGAAGGTTGCAACTGTTTTTTCTAAGTCAGGACAGTCGTTCTTGGCGTGTCTTGACTGACGTCTTTCCGGGGGAATCTGTGTAGAGTAAAGGTCCCTTAATTTAACCCTCAATAATTTGGAAAATTGGGTGCCTTCTCTGGTCTTGGCAAACATATGTTTATACTGAAACTTCTGTATAACAAACCTGGATATAACGAAATATCAACTATAACGAAGTAAACTCGGAATAGTCTTGCAGTAGATAGTGTTGGAAATACATCTTTATAACAAATTTTGGGTTATAACGAAGTTATTTCGGTGCAACATGCAACTTTGTTATAATGAGGTACGAGTTTATTTCATTGGCACCGAAATCTCGTATGTTCGATGATAATTGGCCGCAACCTGGTTTGGTAAAATGGTCCTCGGAACACACTGAGAGTGCAGCGCTGCAAATAGCTGGGTTGGAACTACTCATTAACAGAATGAAAGTGCATTTCTCTGATGGACACTTCAATTTTTTTTTTTGGTGCCTTCGGTGATTTGGTCTTTGGCTAAGGGGGACAGTCCTTCTGGCCCTTGAAATCCTAATTGACGAGTTTTCATTGCATCTAACCTGGTTATGTGACAGTGTCCAATCTGCTTTCGCAGGGTGATCCGGTGACGTACCGACTCAACGCCGTTCTGGTGCACCTGGGCGCCAGCTGCAACTCTGGGCACTACTTCTGCTTTGTGCGCAACTCCAACGGTAGCTGGTACTGCATGGACGATTCTCGGGTGAGTGTGTTTGCGCTTTATTGTTGTTCATTTATTTATTTTGGGTGCTCGCATGTGGTCTAGAATGTACACTGCTGCATTGTGCAACATTCTACAAACATCTGATACCTGAAAACTCGTCTTGCGCGGCGAGATTGCTTCGTAACATATATCACGTCTTGAAAAAAATGGTCGTTGCCAAGACAGGTATGCCTGTCGCTAGGCTGATGGTGACGAATTTGTTTGTTTGTGGAACATGCATTGATTCCAGTGCACCAGAATGTTCACGGTGACGCGTTTGGGGCTTCTGTTTTGGGTTTGTTTGTAGGTGCATCAAGTGAGCTTGGGCCACGTCCTGAACCAGCAGGCGTATGTCCTCTTCTACGTCCGGGCGCCGTCGGAGTCGCAGGAAAATCACGTCGTCAAGGTGAGCGTCGCCACCTGGTGCTTTGGTATTTCTCTGCTTGAGCGCATGGGAAGGCCGATTTTTTTCATTTTTGTAGTCCCGACTTTAGTATGGACTGTAGGAATGTCTCTAGACTTGAAGCTGTGCTTGCCTCTAAAAGTTGTTCACTTGCGATGACTCGCATGTGTTTAATGCAAGCTCTTATCTTGCGGCTACACTTTTTTGATTTCCACGTGGTGTTCACGCAATCCCATTGTGCAATCTTTTTTTCTTTCTTTGAGAAGGCGTTTGAGGCTTGCCACACTAAAAGCATCCAGGTTTGAGCTTTTTTGTGAATGGCCCGCTGTCAAATCCTGTGTGGCTACCGTTGTTGTCAGAGTTGTGGTGATACAATTTGTTTTCTCGTTGGCCGTTAGCATAAAAGCCCCTTTAATTGCGATGAAACTATCATATACTCGACATGCTCAGTTAAACTCAACCTAGTCGCGCGAAATGCTTTTTCATCTCTAGGGGCCCGTGGGCTGTGCATAATGGAGTTGACATGCAGTGAGCTGATGCATGGGTCACCGTTTATGTGAGGCGTAGTAGTTCAAAAAGTGCCAGGTGACGAGCATATAGAAGTCGGCAGGCTTTTTGGTTGACAGGCTGTAACAAAGAGCTTTCTCATTGTGCAATCTGTGAATATTGAAGAGATGATAAACATGCATGCTGAGAATGGAAGCACAACGGCATTCACATTGTACTTTGTCCAACGTGGACGTCGCGAAGTCTTGGTCTCGCAAGTTGTCGACATTGTTGATGTCGTGAATTTTGAAGGTGATGTTAGACTTTTGTGAGCATCTTGTGTTGCTTGAACCTCTAGAAATACTGGTACACTCATACTTCAAGTTAAAAGTCACATCTGCCATAAATATTTTTGTTGTATATGAAAATTTGTGACAATCTATGACAAAGCTATTCTTCACTTCGTTATAAGCATAATTCATTATGTCGAATTTTTTTATATTGAGCTTTTAGTGTGCATCTGAGATTCGAGTAAAGAGAGGTAAAAGCAGTCAAACAAAAAACAAACACCTCTGGGCGTGCTTGTGCAGTCTTACTTTCCGAATGTTGGTGACCAACTTGCGTTAATCGACTTTTCTGTATATGCATCGACTTACATTTGCATTGACTTTAAGACTAATCTTGACTGGTTTTTCTTTTCTTTTTCCTGTGCATACAGAAGTCCAACTCCGCGGCCACGTTGTGCAGCCAAAACGCCACTCCCGAGCCAATCCGAAATGGGCAGCTGTGTAAGTCAAAGCGTGCGGCCTGTCCCTCATCGATCCGAATTCGATATACTGCTTTTGACGTGCTCCTGTCTTGGCATGACCAGTGGCATTACGAACCGTTGGTCTGGGTAGATGTGTTTCGTTGACAGAGTTGAAACAGTTGTTCTGCAGTGCTCACCTGGTTTGCTCTGCTAGCTGTATCGATGATTTCGGCTGGTCGACGCTCAGCGTTGTTGCTTTTTGATGACGTTCTGCCGTTTTCGACATTGGAACTGCTCAAACGTAGATTCGGAAGGCTTGCTCAATCGGGACAGTGTTTTGCAGTTTGAGTTGGATCCTCTACATACTGCAGTGTTCGACGAACGCAGTACGTTTCTTTCCTGCCTCGTGCGTTTTGGAGTGTAACAAAGCATTAAAGTTGACACGTGCAATCCAGGCCCCAGTTTTACTCTCTTTTGTCTCACTTGGTAATAGACGCGAAGGTGTAGTCTATTCTAAATGATCAGTTTTGGGGATTGTGGGCTCCAGCACGTGCTGATTCGATAAAGCATCGAAATTGGTGGACTGGTGCAAAATATAGCCACTGCTTTCGATCTCTATCCAATCAGCACGTGCTGAATGTTTGTGTACTTCAACGGCATACCACGCCACAGGTGCCCGAATGATGTCCATTGCTGTATATGAAGCCCTGATTTTGCAGTGTGCCCATGTAATAGTTCAACGGCGGCCTTATGCTGGCACATTCGTTTTATATTGAATTGGATCTAAATCTAGCTTTGCGGTTACCATGGGCTCTTTTGAAGAAAAATAAAAAAGGGAGCGTTACTTGTCTGCCCTGCACAAAACGGCCAAGATATGCATGTTAATGCGATAGTGTGCCGTTTCGATTGCAGACTTTCCCCCCCCCCTTCCCATTATGGAAATGAGTTTCTGGTTTTAACCAGAAGGGCTGGCAGTCTGTGTCATATTCAGTATGCGACACTTGTGTTGGCACCTGTGGTATAATCTTGTGTAATAGCCACTTCATTAGGTAAAATTTTAGCAGCAAATAACTTGATATTGCAAGATCAACTTAGTTAATTTTTTAGCCAATACTAAGCAGTTGACACAGATTCCTTCCTTATTATGCATTTATATAGATAATCAGGTTATTTGCTGTTCTCGCTTATCGCCTGATAAGCTTGTTTGGCATTTGGAAAATACTTACAAACAGCCTGGGAGAGTTCTGTTTTATGAGCATGAAATGCATCAGATTTGTGCAGGGAAGTTGCTGGCTATGTGGAAACTGCATTCTCAATATGGCAGCAAAAGTTCGAGCTCTGAATTTCGCTAAATGATGTGGCTAATATGCTGGTTTATGTGGTATACGTCACAAACAAAAAGATTGCCAAAGCACATTTTGTGTAGTTGATTTTGTCGTATAGCAGCGCAGTGGAAGGGTTACTTGTTGTGAAAGGCTGTCACCTGCTGAGAAAATAAATGTTTTTAGCCTGTGTTGGAGGAAGCTCTCTTCTAGTATAAAATTTCTGTCACACTTTCGTGTCGCGTGCAGTTGTCTATTTACAAACATGAAAATAGTGAATACGCAGCGTCGGTGAGTTGTGTTAAAAAATGAGTTGTGTGAGGAGGTGGCGGGGGTTGCGTGTGCCGTGCTGCGGGTGAGTGGTTCTTGACGCCGAGGTCGTTGGCTCGTTGCAGCCGTGGCCGCGGAGAGGAGCACCCCGCAAAGGCCGAAGCAGCCCCCGCCCAGGTCTCCCTCATCGCCTGCAGCGGTATCCACGGCTGAAACAGCAGCTGCGTCGTCGTCATCGTCTATCTCCGCCCAGCCGTCGCCCCACCGAACAGTGGCGGTGTCCACGTTGCCCTCGACGTCGACACCGCTTCCCGCCAATCGCCCGAAAATTGCCTTCGGAATTGGGGCTTCCTCTTCATCCTCGGTTGCGACTTCGTCTCCATCCCCATCGACGTCTCAGCGAAGCATAGGGCCGCCTAAACCTCCTGCTCCGGCGGCGCCCGCAAAGCCTTCCGCGGAAAAGCCAGTTGAGAGACCTGTAGACAAGCCGCTCACCCCATTAGCCCTGGGTGACATGAGCCTGGTTCCGTATGCTGGGGACTCGTCAGATGACAGTGACCGAACCGACAGCACTATAAACAGGCGGAAAGGTGCTGCAGCCCAAACATACTCCTCGGACACTCTGAGGGCCAAGGCTTCCTCGACATGGCAGGTGTCGGACGTGAACCTTCTCTCTCCGGCCATCTCGGTCGAGTCGAGCACGACGAGCGTCAACTCTACGACAGACTGGAACGTGACTGACAAGGAGCGGCCCTACGAGGCGCGCAAGCCTGTCGCCGAGGAGTTTCCAGGCTGGACAGTGGAGCCGGCAGCCGCCAGCGCACCCGGTACGGCGGAGTCGTTGTCGCTGCCAGGGAGTTCTGGGGATGCCACTTCTAAGTGTGTCCGAGACGATGACGGGCTGGTCGTTTCAAAGCACAAAGAACAGCAGCTGCGGCCCTTTCTTGGCGACGGACGCGTTGGCGTCATCGATTCCACCGAGACTCAACCTTCTGGTGACGGTGCGCGAGGCGGTGACGCGATGTCTCCAGCGAGTGAACTTATCGCGGGTGACGACAGTGCGGCGGCGCCAGTCAACGAGCCCCCAGTGCGGCCTGTTGTGCCTCCGCCGAATTCGGCGGCGCCGGCTCCCATCGCCAACGGATGTGTGAGGGCCGTTGCGGCTGACACAGATGACAGCAGTGATTCGCATGAATGGGTGGAACGGACAAAGGAAACGTTAGCTGCTGAACGACGCCACTCGTCGAGCAGCAAAGGTAAAAAAATGGGCAGCTCGCAGCTGCTGGTAAATGCACTAATTCACAGTAACTAGCGTGCACACTGCATGGGATATTATGTCTCCACTTGTTCCTGCTTTAGAATAACAGGTTTCTCAAAAAGCTTGAAGGCTCCGCTGCAGAAGTCTAGTGGCTAAGGTACTCGGCTGCTCACACGCAGGTCGTGGGATCGAATCCCGGCTGTAGTGGCTGCATTTTCAATGGAGGCGAAAATTCTGTAGGCCCGTGTGCTCAGATTTGAGTGCAGGTTAAAGAACTCCCAGGTGGCCAAAATTTTCAGAGCCCTCCACTACGGCGTCTCTCATAATCATATGTTGGTTCTGGGATGTTTAACCCCAGATATCTATCTATCAAAAAGTTTGAAGAGGGAAAAAAACACTTCTTTTGATAAAATTTTTTTCTTGAACAGACACTTCCTTTGAGAGCCGTATCGCTCAAGGGAATGCAACAGGTGCTCGATTCTTGTGGAATCGACACCAACCGTTTATTGCCAGTGATGGTCTCATCATCATGGCTCCATCTCCCACTGCTGTTGGCAGGGTTTGTGAATACAGGTCCAAATTGTTGTGCCTGTTGCTTTTGGCATTTGTGTGAGTGCAATCACTGTGAATGGTCTCTGTGAACTTATAAGCAGTTTTCACGTTACCCAATTGCTCAGAGGCAGTGTGTTTCTGTGCAAACATCGCGAATTCTTGCACTTACGACGCGACGTTTAGTTATAGACAACCTGTTTTCAAAAGTCGAGTCTTAGTATTGGAGTTTAAGCAAAGCCACTTGTAGTACAGTTCTCTCAAGTTTTGGTTGAACCATCACACACTCTTAGCTTTTGTAGACGCTGGTGCTGTAGTCTCCTGTATAAAATTTTTTTTAAACTTACAACCTTCGGTTGGGGAGTTAATTGCACAGTATTACTAACCTATGTGCATTTTGCCTTGGTGAGGTGCGGAGCATACGGATACATACGGAGGTGCATACATATGGAATAATGGCTTATGCAAAGTCTATACGATACAGGTTTCATATATAGTTTTCTTGCCAAATACATCTACAGATATGCCCGGTGGTGGATGAGGTAGAAATGTATATGAAACATGGGTCAATCAAGTTTTTATTTACCTACCCAAGTCCGTGCATAGCACATAGACTTACTGCCTTGTCATAAATTTCACAAACTTTTATATGCGCAACTTTCTTCATTTTCTTGAAGCAGGGCTTTTGTGTCGAGATGTTTTCATATCTGACTACGTTCATGGCAGATCTGTTTGTTGCATTGGTTGACATGTTCTGCTAAAGACCTCTGCCACATGCTAATTTCGTTTCTTCTTTTGATATTACTAGAACAGTGCAATGGTCTCTGTATTGGCTGACAAGAATTGAATCGCTGGAAACAAATCCATGGAACAGAAGAATATTTAGGAAATACAGCTACCAGATGCAGGCCGTTTGATCACCATCTTTTAAGGGGGTTTTGTAGCACGTCTAAAAGCAGATAGGTTTTTAATTTATTTAATGATTTCATGAAGTTCTGATGGAAACTCTTCCCTTCATGATATCGTGCGGAAAGTATTTTTTTTTTCCTTCCATTAACATCTTGCATATTTATATAGAACTGATTTCCTCTCCTTGTGGCTCTACACCGTGTTGCACTTTGGCTGAAGACGTTGAGTGTGAAACAGGAGTAGCTTAATTGGTGCAGTTGCAGTAGGAAGTTATGGACTGCGGGAGGTTGATTGGATGTTTATTTTTTGAAAGCTGTTGTGTCATGCATGTACCTTTTGTTTGCTTTTGAAGTTTTCACGTGGCATCATTGCTCTCTGGACCGAGCCCGGAATCCCCGGAAAAGCTCGAAAATCAACTGCTGTCGTCCTCTTCGTGGAGGAGCGGCGACCTGTGAAGGCGTGGCCAAGCTTCCTTACATGGTTTGGCCGCGCCTTTGAGAGTTCGTTACGTGCCGCCAGTAGAACTCGCCGTTAACGATCTGCTTCCCCTGTCTGCGCAGCCACAGTCCACCAGTGGGACGCACGGCCGAGCGTCAATGGCTCCAAGGAAGGGTCGTCGTCGTCGCACTGGAACGGCACCAACGGTAGTGCCAAAAGGCAGACGGACATTCTGAGCTACTTCCATAGCAACGGCTCCCGTCAGTACGGCTACGCTGTGAACGGATGGCGCGGCCGAGGCTCCGAAGGGGCCGGCTACCACAACGGCTACAGAAACGACCGAGGCGGTGGCGGCGACTTCTACCGGGACAAGCGGAAATACTACGACGGCTATGACAGTTACGACGATGAGTACGATAAGGGCAAGGTGGGTGACGTTCTCTCGAGGGAGGTGCCTTCATTCCCACTTCAGCGAGCTTTGAACTCGTTACGACCCTTGAAAAAAGGGTCCGCTCCACCAACAGCCATTGCTGTCCCATCAAATAGCGCCTACACATTTTCGTGATGTTAAGCATTTCTCGAGTGCTCCCGACAGACGTTTGTTTGTAATGCTGGTTATAGGTCAACAACTTCGAATGTCCTGGTGAATTTCGTCTGGCACGGTGACATCTATTTGAACTTCCCAAAGACAAATACAATCAATTTCCGATTAAAAATTTCCCCTTCGGATTTTCAGGATGCCTCACCTCAGGACACTGTAGTATTGTGGCAAAGCTGCCTTTCAGGTTTTGTTATTCAACTTTTTAGAGGCGAATACAGTGATCGTTTGATTAAAAGGGCTTCTTCAGATTTTCAAATGCTTCCCCTCAGCATACTCGTACTGTGGCAAAGCCCTCTTTCAGGCTCCGCTACCATCGCAATTGTACTTACTCAAAAAAAAAAAAAAAGTGCTGGATTCAACACGGAGATCACAAATGTGGCAAAGGTGGGGGCTCAATTGAATGATATTTTAGACTAGAAATCTGAAAAGTAGGACGCCCAAAGATTGCTGGCACCAGTAATTTCAGTTGTTCTTATATATTGGCATCTATGAGGCAAATTTGGAACTGGGGACTTGAAGGAAGCACACCCACATCTGCCACACCAGTTGGGCTTCCACAGAAGTTAGAGGCGAAGAGGTTTAGGAAATAGCATTTTCGTTTTTCATTGTAAGAGTGTTGCCAACAACCTTTTGATTGCACTAGATCATGTACATAAATACAATTTGGCGTCTACATTAGCAGGAGTTCAATATGTGTGTGCTTTCTGGTACCAATGGACTAGTCATAATCATAAGATGTTAACAAATTTTGTGATGTATACAGGGTAGGCAGCCTGTCTGAGAACTGGCAAACCCCCCTGTCCTACATCTTTCAATCCTCCTCCCATCCTCCTCCTTGTGCTGTATAGACCAAATCTCGCTGTAACGAAATTCCCCGACAACAAACTTTGTCACACGTCTCGTCAATTTTGTTGCAACATGGTTTGACCGCAATTCCGCTTTGAGCAACAACCGGCTAGCATGACCATCTTTCAATGGCGCCACAGGGTTTTTATTTGTGGAGCTTAGGTTGTAGTACAGTGTTGCTGATCGTTTTCGTGACAGTGTTTAATACGCAAGTTCTTGTTTCTCAAACGCGCACATTTTTTTCTTTTTTGGTGTTTCAGCAAAAGCGCAAGAGCAACGGCTTCAGTCAGCACTCGGGATCGCACTACCGCAACGGGTCGAATCCGTTCCAGGAGGCGCATAACTTTCGGAACCAGCAAGGAGTCGGCCACCGGTTCCACCACCATCAGGTGCGACATAGCTTCTTCTACATTGCACACTGCCCTGGCGCCAGGCCTGAAAATGGCATAGTTTCGTCAAAACTAAAAGCAGGGGCGTGATTTTCATGGTGTCCACTTGGTAGACATGTCCACTTCATTGGAGTGCGTTCGGTTACGAAAAAAATTCTGCGAGTCGTGACGCCGGGGGTGCTCTTGACTGTGTCGACACACTGAATCCACCAGCACATTCTTAGCATAAAGGGAAAGAAAGTGGTTGAAATGTACAGTAACAAGACTCTTAAACAAAGTCAACAAGTTTCAACTTGCGTATGAACGTGTGGAGATGTTTGAAGATCGATGCAGGGAATGCGTGCCGACCTTCCAAGTGTGTCGGGCTGGCGAGAGCTTTGAACGTAATGGCGTATTCGGTTGGGCGTTTTCGAGCGCTCGGACTACCTTCGGTTGGTTCTTACAGAGCGTCAGCCTCTGGCTCAGAGCGCTCCCGACTGCTCCGACTTCGAAGTGAGAGCATGGCGTGGTCTGACCGGGAGGACGAATCACGTGGCACAAGCCAGCCAATCACATTCTGCTGGCACGTGAACGAGGTGAGGAGCGCGAGTGTGCATTTCGGAAGGGGGAATCGGCGGGTGCATAATGCTTCGTACACGTGTGTCGTTAATGGCGTTTTCGCGCGAGTGTGGGGCGAATTCACATCTACGAAGCCATAAATGCACCATGTCAATAGCGAGACGGCTAGCGAAGGCGGACGAGACGACGATGCTGCCGTTACAGCATCTCGCATACAGCCTCGTGACGAGGAAGATTGTCAGACCTATGTGCTGAGCTCGAAAGGCTTTCACTACATCCAGACATGTCAGAAAGAGAGAAAGAAAGTATAAAAGGTCAGACATGTCACAGATCTCCACTGAAGTGATCGGCGCCATTTGTTGACAATGTTGACGCGGCATAGCTGTTTACCAGGCAGCTTCCTGCACTGGCTGCACGGTGGCGCTACAGGCGCGCTGCTCTGGACGTTCTGAGATCGCCGATGTATTCGGTTGCTACACTGCCTCTCGCACTCCTGATTGCAAGCTGCCTCTGCATCTGGCGACTCTGAGCCAGAGGACCAGAGCGGCCAACCGAATACGCCATAATGCAGGGGCCAACGTGATTAGAGTTTATGCGGGGCCTCCGAGATGAGCGTCCAAATGCGTATCTTTTGAGGCAGCATTCGTTGCGGTGAAACGCATTCCGTCTTTCTCATTTGTGTCGAGAGTTGTAAATACTGTGTGGCGTCCAAATGATGTTGCGGAAAAAAGACTGCAAACGGGAGGCACGCTGCTCGCCGAGCTCCAGCCAATCAGTGGAGGCCGAATTTGACATGTCCACCAAGTAGACGCTGCCAGAATAACTCCCCAGTACGCGTTTGAGGGGTTGTGAACTATCCCTTGGGTTTTTTGGCGAGAGAATGCATCCGGCGCATAGCAGACACTGCTGTGAACATCTCGGCCAAGTCTAGAGGTTACAAGCAGAGCGCAAATTTGCCATTTTGCTCCCCCCCCCCCCCTTTTTTTTTTGTGGAGGCCTGTCCTGACTTGTTCCAGGTTTGGTGTCAGAGCTGTCGGGTACCATGCTATCGGCTGATATTTGGCATTAATAAAGAATGAGGGAGAGGGGGGCGATCAGATCTGATTTTCGTAGAGAAAGCTACGCTGGCCGAGGTTGAGCAGTTTCGCGTAGCTCCCGCTGAGCATGCACGAGGAGCAGTGACGTCGCCATGCGCGCAGAACACCTAGAAGCCTCTGGAGTGATGTGTCGCTAGTGGTCTGGTGTTCGACTCGTGTGAGCTTGCTCGTACAGGTCAGGTGTGCGACTGTCTGGCCCTATTCTGTCGTTAATCTTGTCATCAACGGTTCGTTTTGATGCTTCGATGGTAGCTCGCTGCAACGTTGGTTACTTGCTACAATGTAAACCGGCGTGGTCGTGCGAGGCTGCCCGAAGTCGGCAAAGTGCGTGTTAGCGCACGCTTCTGGGCACCCCTCGAGATCACAGCAGATACCACTGATTGCGAGAAAAAGTAGCTGCAAAACGTTGTTATGGCTTGCGCGAGCGGCGCAAGGACAGCTTGCAGAAGGTAGTCCTTCTGCAAGCTGTCAACCGCCGAAGATAGTGAAGTGCAACGAAGAAGCTGTTCCCAAACACTGTGCGCATATGTCAATCGCGAAAGGGTAAGCGGCCTAACCTTTTTACATTGCCGCATTGTTGCTCATCTTGAAAACGTTTTCATAAAATTTGCCCCATATAATAAACGCACCCCCAACTTTGCTATGATATTTATGGAAAAAAAAAAAAAATTGGTTATTACGCGAGTAAATGTGGTAGTTGATATTGGTACAGATGAGTAAATTCACCCTAGTAATATTCATTATGGCAGGCTCAACGTAGACACAGCTGTGCCCGCTTCCATTCTTCACATTGGAGGAAAGGGCTTTGAATTTCTTTTTCGTTTCTTTTATTTTCATGCAGCAGTTCCACAAGAGGTTCCAGAAGGGTCCACCTCCGTTCTACAACCGGCACCACCACCACCACAACAACAACAACCGGCAGCACTTCAACTACGACTCGCCCCGACGGAAGCACCACTACAGTCGCACCCGATAGCGAGAATGTGGGGATTGGGCCCAGCTAAACCTAGATGGCCGAGCCAAGGGTTGGAAACAAGGAATTGCCGACGATATGATACACGGCATTTTATTCGTCGGCCCCTCTTGCCTCGTCGGGGAGAGCCTCTCCTGTCGATGAGTGCAGGCGCTGGACACGCTGAAGAGGGTGCACCGTTCAACTGCGACAGCTGAGCTGTCTTCTAAGCCTTCGCAATAGACTGTTCTTCTGCGGTGCTTTCTGGGCTCTGAGGCTTCGGCTACGTCCTGGAAGTGCATCGACGGTTGCTAGAGTGTCGGTTAGGTCGTCCTGGAAACACGTTGGCCACTGTGACGTTTGCAGGAGTGTGGACTTGTTAACTGACGATGAGGGAAGACTCGGAGCCCTCGTCGGACTCTCTCCAAACGTAGAGACAGTGTTTCTTTCCGGCTTGCATTGTCGTAGTCTTCGCGGTGCAGTATAGCAGATGCAGACTGCTTGGCGTGTCTGTTGTCGTGGCGACGCGGGTCGTGACTGAAGTGTGCGGTGTGTCATACGATTGGGTGAACTTGTTTTCGAAAGCCGGCCTGTGCGTTATTTTTTCCTTCTCTTCCACTTGGTGAACGACCGGACTGAACGCGCCAGTTTTTGAAGTCTCTTCATGATCCAGTCAATGGGGAGCCATGCCTCACGAATGCTGCAAGTCATTGCGACTCGAATTCGGAGACGAGCTTTGTGCCACCTGACCGTGTACTATTGCAACTAGCCACGAACACAAAGCCTTGTCGTCACTATCCCGATTGAACTTGTTGGTTTTTCTTTCGAGAACCTCAGTGGACTTCAGTTGGCTCGAATGTTACTGGAAATCGTGTGTGTGTGTTTGTTTAGGGAACTCCCCCCATTTTATTATTGCCCTCCGTGTTAATTTGTGCTTGTTCCCTCAGAAACTTTTTCCTTTCTGTGAACATTGCGGTCCAACCGCTTAGAAGCGACGTCCTTCCTGGATGCTCTGTGTGGAGCAGTGTAAAAAAAAAAAGATTTTGGTCTCCTAGGAACTGATAACTTTGTGGGGAATGTAAAAAAAAAAAGGGAAAACTTCATTGTTTCTTTTTTGAGTACTTGGATATAAAAGCTCTAGGACCTACCTACACTGACAACTCTCTTTTCCTTTCCATCTATGACATTCATAAACTGTGCGCCAGGTATTCAGATTTCGTGGTGCATCGGAAGGTCACAGATATGTTCAGCCTTTTTTTTTTTTTTCTTTTCGTCACTTGTGTAAAAACGGTCTCGAGTTGAAAGTAGCAAAAAAACGCATCCCTTCTGGCCTCTCGTCGAAGATGCGTTTTTGTTTGTATATACAACTTGTGACATTAGAGAGCTGTCTCACGGGGAAAAAAAAAAACGTAATAAAGAAGTTCGCGCACTTTCAGTGAACTTGTGACTCGTTTTAGATGAGTTCCAAGCCTGCATGCGCTAAAGTGTTTTTTTTTTAATTTTTAAAGCAACAATTTTTGTTAACGCAATAAGGTTGCTTGGCCAGGTTTGCGACAACGCGCTCGCAGCTGGCGAAGGCCGCATCCTAGGAGCACGTGGCCTCCGCCACGGGAACTGACGCCGGCGTCAGCTACTGCCGCAGCGACCACTTGCAGCGGTGGCACGGGATAAGGAAATCCCCGCAGAAGACATGGCGGCGCTCTTCCTCAAGTCTGAACGTTTTCGTGTTCGCATAATACGCTTATGAACCCTCGGCAACTTAATTATAAAGTTTGCGCCCACCCTTGCAACTAACAAATGACGTAGCGTTGGCGCCTGCGTGGCTGGATGGAGCTCCTGTCAAACCACGTGGTGGTGCGAAAGACGGATCGATCAGCTGATGCGGGCGATATGATAAAACGTTTCGCAGCGCAACTGCATCTTTAGAAAAAAGACCGGCCTACCAAGAGAGATGCCCGAGATGCCTTCGACGAACGGTAAGACGTCTCTTTGATTTCAAACTTGGCGCGCGCCCGTGATGGGAGAACGCAAAAAACAACCAAGTAAGTAGCCAAGACGCTGCCAGTCGAAGTGTGCTAGCGGTGCGGACTTCCAAGCGTGTCGCGACCTCAAACGTGCCACTCACAAGTACGGCGTAGTTTGTGGAAATAATACCGCTCAGACGATCGTAAACGGTACCGTCTGAGAGACGCTTTTCATTCCGCAAACCGAAAGGGTCTCATCGCTTTGGCGGTAGTTATACAACCAGCTCGTACCGCTGGCTCTTTCCACGGAGCTCTGCCCGCTTTGAAAACAACCTCACGCACACAGGCCCCAACGTGCCTCTGCACCGCCGCTCGCTTCCGCGGTGGAACTAAGTTTTGTTTATAAAACTACGTTTACGACTCGGACCTCATGTTAGGATGCCACGGTCACCATTTCGAGCTCAGAATCTTTAAATTGGAGAGTTTTTGCTTTTCATACAACGTTCAGAGCGCGGTGAAATCACTTTCAGAAGCCCTGCCGCGCGGATGAATACATAGTCCGGCCGAACTGCAAGTAATAAGCAGATGGTAGCCATTTTGGTTGTGAACAAAGATATTGGCAATCTTTTTTCGGGATTAAATTCTCCTTAAGTGCTCAGTCTGCAGTTAATTCCCATCACGCGTTACTATGCTCCAGCAACTCTCTTATGTGTATTCGTAGCCATGGCCGATAGAAGGAAACTCCAAGGTAAGAGAAAAAGGCTGTCAAAAATTGCTGCTCTCGCTTCGGGGATGTGCTTGTTGCCTGCCAGACCTGTCTGCTGTGCCTGCTTCGGGGTATCGTACACACCGCATTCAGGCGGCGGTGGTGGTGAGGGGGGTTTTGCCGTTAAGCCTAAAGATGCCCTCCGATCGGAATCGAACACACTTTTTCGAGCTGTAGTGCACGGATACTCCGCGGCAGGGGCCGGTAGATAGACGCAGCGAGGCGTTGTGACCCGTGCGACTACGCAGCGGCCAGCTACTGGGGGAGCAGTGGACGACCGCAGCAGCCAGCTCGGCCCCAGATAGCACCTCGGTCCGCGAGATCGGTTCCTACTTTTCGCCTGCGCTGCCCCGTCCATTTGACAGTTTTTTAGCGGCCACCGATTGAAGCGGGCGGGCTTTGCGCTCGTTTAATGGTTGAGAAACCCGAGCTTTTTCTTTTTTCAACGCGATTCCCCTAATTTTTTTTTCTATCCGGTTCGGTAGCCTTCGCTTGTCTACTCTTGGGGCTTCTTGGGGTTCGTCTTCGAGCACGCGTCGCCTTCAAACGGGACGGTTTTCGTAACACTTCGGGTACCGAGTCGGAGGTCCGGCTCGCGTATTTCTTTTTGGAAACGGCCGAAGATTCGGGAGCCCGTTTGTGTTTCAAGGAGCGAGCGACTGCTGCAAAGTGCGAGGCCGGGCTTTTTCGTTCCCACTGGTAACATGCTGAACCGTGAGAGCTCCCCTCTTGGATCTTTTGCATTTGTTTTGTCGTGTGCTACGTTGATGCTGTGTGTGTATGCGTGCGTGCGAGTGGGGCGCCCAGGTGATGTGACGGTTCGGGGTTGCTTTGCAAGCGGGGGGGTGCTCAGGTTAGGCTGTTTGGTTTTGGAAAAGAGAAACAAGAAGTCGCGCTTGGTCTCGGACTCCTGCCCTTCTCGTGTCGCGGCTGAGCAGTCGTTTCGATCTTGTAAAGTGAGGTCGCGAAAGCACCGTGGCACCCGCGAAAGGCCAGTTTCGTGGTCCTGAAGGGCCCGTTTTTGGCAGTACCATAAGCCTAACCTCGCGAGAAGGGGGGGTACCTGCTTTTGATGTGCCGCTTTTTGAAGACTTAAGCATCACTGGTCAGCATCGTGCTGCCTCTTTTTTTACGATGCCGCGAGAGAAAAAACACGTTAGTTTTCACGATTTGCACCTAGATGATCGGGTCGTTTTCGCAAAGCAAGCTCGTACAACCTATTCGGTTGCACCTTTTTGACACTACGGTTTGTGGTTCACGAACCGTGTTCCTTTTTTTTTTTTTTACCTTCCCTCTTCGGGTTAGCAGTTTCGTGTTAGCACGCGGTTGGTGTTTCACCCCACTTAAGCCCACGTCGTGACCTCTGAAAGCATATATAGCTATCACACCTGAGTTTCGCGGCTAATGTTTTTTGTTAAAGTTTTGCTCCAGCTGATTGGCGCTAAGCACTCGAGTTGCGATGATTTGCGATGTGTTTACAACGGGACAGCTTATCGGAACGTCGAGTCACTCCAAAGTACCCTATACAGCACAAGTTATTCATTTTTTTGTTCACCGTGTTCGAATCGATGTGCTAAAGGTCATTTTGCTCTGCAAGCATTTGTTTCGCTTTTTGTGTTACGCGTTTTCGTGATGTGTTGGCCGGCACCTTCTTTTGAGGGCAGCCCTTTTACTTTGTTCGTCAAATGTTGGACTCGGCCACCGAAATCCCACACTTTCACCGCTTTATGAAGTATGCACCAGCAGTCATTGTGGCATGTTTGTTTTGTTGTCGTTGCTGCATCTTCTCCTCTCAAAAGTGGAATCCGGTTCTTGCTTCCATGTGTTCGCTGTAGAAAAACGGACTGATCTGACCGTACTTGCACGTTTGGTCTTCTACCAGTGTTGCATTTTCAAACACTTGACGTCTTTGGGATTGTTGAAGTGTCACGTTCAAACACTTCTCGTGTGCCACGCACCTCGAGTGGCAAACTGCACGAAAAATTTTTCACTTTACAGTTTCTCATTGTGTGTGAACACATTGCACCGTTGCAAGAACGTAGCTGTGTTGTGGTTTTCTGCAATTCCTAAGAAGTCTTGATTGGCTTTGCTTCTGTAAAATTCAGAGGCGGTTTTTCACGTGTGGTGGGTGATTCTTGACTGTGTTCATTCGCATTGCTGAAGCTTAAGCGTCAGTCAACATTTTTTCAGTGCTGTAGTTCACACCATGCCTCGCTGCAATGTTGGTAACGACATCCTGCTACCTTATGATCGGGAGGTCTGCGTTCAGTTCCATTTTGGTGAACATCAGCAGTAGTAGTTCTTCGCATCTGAGTTAACTTTCCTCACTCTGAGGGCTTGTGAAAGTCCTTCCGTTCCGATTTGCGTCTTCTTCGTGAATGGCTTTTTTTTGAAGTTGTTGGTTCGCGTGCTTGACTATGCTGAAGAGCATCAAGCAATAATGCTTCCCATACTAGAAAACAAGATTTCACTGTCTGAATTTTCTTCAATCTCGACCTGTTTTAGTCCACTGCAATACGATGGCCTCTCCCAATGATCTCCAGCTTTACCCCGTCTGTGAGCCGATTCCATTTTACCCCGGTGGAATTCTTAACTGTGTCCTTAAATCTATTTGCCTTCTTGAAATGCATTTTCATTCCATTAGTAGCCATTCCGTTGCCACTGCTGTCCACCACTTGTCTGTTCTATGCATTACATGGCCAGCCCAGGTCCATTTCTTTAGCTTGGTGTCAACTTTGATATCTGCAAGTCCTGTTTGTTGCCTGACCCATTCTGCTGTCCCCAAATCTTTCAATGTTACTCCTATCATGTTTAGTTTCATTGCATCCTTTGTGTTCCTTAACTTTTTCTCTGGTAGGTTTGCTATCCTTCACATGAAAGCCCTTTATGTTGGAACTGACAGTATACAGAGACTGCCTACGCATTGGTTTAATGGCTGTGACAGATTTTCTTACATTATTTGGGATGCACTTGAGCCCACTCTTATTCTTTGGTGACTCTCCTTAATGTGATTAGGCTCTCCTTGTAGTAAATGACCCAGGTGTACATATCCTTGTGTAACCAGCACTGTATTGTATCCAGTCATGAACTCTCTCTCTTTCAATTGCTTCTTTTGTTTTTCCTCGCAGCTGCTATTTCAGGAAGCTGTTGCAACATGCTAACTACTATAACCTGTTTATAAAATGCATTGCCCCAATGTTTAACGTCAGAACTGTGGTCGTGTTTATATTTTTCGACGATTATAAACTGAGCCTAAATTTTTACTATCTCTGCCGCTGGCTTCTCTTATTGCACGTTGTCGCGTGTTTGAAAGGTACTCCTTTCGAAGCTATCGACATTTGTGTGCCATTCTTGTGAACGTAGCGTGTTATATTCTGATGGCCTTGGCTTTGACGTAATCCACAAGGTGGTTCTGCATTTTTATGAGTGTTGCCACTTCGCCTCTCAGCATATGGTTGCAAAGCAAGCTTGTGTAGTGTGAGTGAATGTGTGGCAGTTAGCTAGATGTCTGTTTTATTCAAAACTCGGCGGAAGTCTGTGGATTGCTAGTTCGTTGAGCATTTGTTATGCACTATTTCTATTAAGTGCATAAAAATTACGAGGTCTTTCTGAAACTAGGTTGTTTATTCAAAAACTGGCATCACTCGCTTTTCAGAAAGCAGCTCATTCACTGAGTGTAAATTGCGAGCACTTGGTAACACCACTAGCAGCGTTCACATCGGACTCTTCTTGAACGACAGTCAGTCAACCTAGATTCCTAGGACTCGTAGTTGGAAAGTGTGTCAGAGATTTAATAATCATATCTGGTGGGTTTATGCCTCAAAAATTATGAAATGATCATAAGACCTAGTAGTGCTGCTCCTCACAAGCATGTGCAAAAAGTCCCCCCTTTCTTCTGAATTCTTAAAATTTTTTTTTATAGTAGTGCAGTCTCTTGCGTAATAGTTGAAGCTTGGATTCCTCATCTCTGGTGTTGGAAGCATAACCACTTTTCATTGACCATTCTTTTGGCCGGCACACCTGTTTGGGCGATCGGATCAACTGTTATTTGTGGCCCCCTTGAAAGGGACACAAAAGGCTAATTTTGTGAGAGTGTGGGGTCACTGCCCAACTAAAAAGAAAACAAAGGTGTTACACGCAGCAGCGCTATAGCAACTGGGTAGTTTAGCAAAGTGTGACACAGGACTTGCACCACTAGTGGGGCGTCCCGTAACGCAAGACCGATGACGTAGTAGGGCCCTAGTACAATTGATAGCGAGTATTCGTAACTGCACAGGACAGAAAAGAACATTTCAGCTCATGACACGGTAGAATAAAATGTGGCTGTGCCTTCCAGTCTGATTCCCGCAAACAAAAAAAATGTTTACAATAACTTTATTTCATTTTTGTGGTGCTATGTTCTGCTAAAGCCTCTTGCGCTACAGCGCTGGCTGTCGTGCTGTGGGGCCAGCAAAGGGTGGGCATGGCTATGTCGGAAAGTCGTTTTCAGAGGCGGGTAGCTTGAATTGCATTAATGGTGTTGGACCCCTGAAGCGCTATTATCATTTCAGCTAAGAATTTTCTTGGTATGGATCAAGTGCTGCAAGTTGACTGGAATGCTATTTCAACAATCCTTGTCTCATTACGTGCCTATAGTGTCCCTTTAATACACAAAGTTTGGCCATGTTTCCTGCTCCGAAAGTTTTCGAGCATATGACCAGCTCATCTTCGGAGACTTTTTGATTGCCCAGCGCTACGCTGCTTTCAAATCTGTAGCAGTCTTGCATGTCTATTTCCTCTGCACTGATGCCTAGTCGCAACAAAATGTATCGTGAACCTAATACGACAGCAGGATGTCTTATTTCACAGTGTTTGAGGGCGAGTTCAGAGATACGCAGTGCCTATTATGAAATACATGGCATTTCCTCAGTTGCTCTCGGCCGTTTTGGGGGAGGGCTACTTATGAAAGTAATTCCAGAGCAATACGCGCACTAGATAAACAC